CAGGACATTAACACTGCACTGAGAGAGAGGGGTTAATACAGTACAGACACACTGACTGGACACTACAGGACATTAACACTGCACTGAGAGAGAGAGGGGTTAATGCAGTAATACATTTATTGAGTAATCATGTACTACATAAATTCATATAATTTCACTTCAGATACTTTAAAGTCTATAGTTTGTTACAATATTGTTGTCATAATTAATTCTGTATAACTGCATATCATTTTTGTTTATTCTCTGTGGAATACATTTAGGAATTCTCTTTCTTTCCTAAGGTTTAAGGATGAAATGACTGAATGACAAATAGGTTTAGGAATGGGAAGTACAAAACGTATCAGTCAATAATTTAATGTTTGTATATGTTTTCTTGTGTAGGTTTGAAAATATTAAATTTTTTGTTAGAATCCTGTTGATTATCTTGGGTTCCCTTAAGGGATGTAAGATGGTGTTGCTCAATTGGCTTTCAGCCTTAGGGTGCCCCCCAGTGGCCTTCTTGGTATTGCAGCCACAGGGTGCTGTGGGCAGGCCAATAAAGCTGAGTTTGAATGTGAGGGACGCGCCTCCACTCGGTGGCTATGTCCCAGAAGCCACTTTAATGTAATGATAATGATGATAATGTTTCTTTCTTAGCCCTATACAATTTTTTTGCATTAGGGATTTGTCTTTTTGCATACCCCAGCTTTTCTCCATGAGACACATGGAGAAAAGCAGACACACAGGCAGGGAGAGAAGCTTGGGGTCAGAGCACAGGGTCAGCCATTGTACGGCGCCCCTGTAGCAGTTGGGGTTAAGGGCCTTGCTCAGGGGCCCACTGGAGTAGGATTCCTCTGCCGGCCGCGGGATTTGAACCAGCAACCTTCCAGTCACAGGCCCAGATCCTTAGCCACAGAGCCACTGCACCACAAGCCCAGTCAGCTCCTCTGTGCTGTAGAGCACGTGTGGAAAGTGCGCGAGAATTCGAGGTGCACCCTTGTAAAGAGGGTAACGGGACGCCCTCGTGTCCCAGCACTCGCCGGTCACTCGGCTCACAGTCAAAATACTT